GTGTGGGTGTGGGTGTGGGTGTGGGTGTGGGTGTGCGTGTGCGTGTGCGTGTGCGTGTGCGTGTGGGTGTGGGTGTGGGTGTGGGTGTGGGTGTGGGTGTGGGTGTGGGTGTGGGTGTGTGTGTGTTGGGTCCAATCTTGATCTTTTTCAACTCTTCGACAGTTTATTGATTTCATTGATGGTATTGAATGGTATTGTTACCAGGCCACTAGGGCGGTTCTTGATTCGTAAGTCCTAAGCCCTAAGCCTGGCAAAGGGCCAGGCAAAGTAGGCAAAGTCGGCATTGTCGGTTCAGCCAAACCTCTATTTGTTTGGTTAGGTTAGTGAGCTGTGAAGAACACTCCTGAGAGTCCCAAGGGTTAAATTAGGCCTAATTGGGCAGACATGAGTTTCTGATGAACCTGGCCTTCAGGTTTTGTCTTTCCGGATGTTGAGCAGAAGCTATTGCGCTGTGGAGTTCCACATTGGCACGAGTTGGAATAGCTACCCCGTGAAACTATTTTCTTCCTTGGGCCATGATCACCCTGTGCTTCGAGAAAGGGCGTGTGTCTTGTGCCCGCTTTCACAGCTCCTCGTTTCAGTCTATGATCCCGACGACTTCGACAACAACGAAGTCCAGAGTGTACTGGCAACCCTAGCAAGCGTCTACAGGTTGGACATCGCTGATGTGGAGGCCAGACACGCATCGACAAGGAGAATAACCTCTCTGAAGGGCCTGCAAACGACGGTGCCACATTTAACAAACATCTCTGCCGAATGGGTCGTGCGAAGCAATCTGATTTGCAGAGGCGAAGTCTTGCCGCAGTCCGCAGGGGCCAGTGAGGCCAGTGCTGCTGGGCAGGATAGCCAATCTCAGCGGGATGTCAGACGGAACCCCTGGAATGCATTCCTGAGTGCCAGATGCAGTTCGCCGTTCCCGCAGGACATGGCGGCCCTGCGAGAAGAGTACCACGCTCTTGCTCCTGAAGAGCGGCAGATGTACGAAGAGATGGCGAATGTTGCAGCTGCAGCAAAGTTGAGAGATCTCCAGCCATACCACAAAGGTGTTCGTGGCAGTGATTCTCATTCAATTGCCGGGCAGCCCGAGTCTGACGCCAGGGCTTTGGTTCCGCTCTGTGAGCCCTACGAAAGTGCTCAGCGAGACTTAGCGTGTGCGGGCCAAGTGGCTTCAGATGTCCTTTGCAAGCAGCTTCTAGACGCTCTGTCTGTGCAGAACCAGGAGCACCAGCAGCAGGCACTTGCTTTGCGAAAGCGGGAAGAAGAGTGTGATAGATTGCGTGCTGAATACACACAGCAAGATGCAGTGTTGAGACACACTATGTCCTGCTGTCCACCCATGCTCGATCACTGCGCTCCCGCTCTGAATGGTCTCCTTTCCGTGAATTTGCACGTTCCGGCAGACAGCATGGGCAAAGCTCCTGAAGCAAAGTATTCGGGGGCTTAGGGGCTTACAGTGTTGAAGTGTTAAAGTGTTCGACTAGGATTTGGGATAACTAGGATTAGGACGCTCTTTGGGGAAATCTGGGAAGTGTTTTCATATCAATCTGTGGACTTGGTCTAGCAATTCCACCGCGGCTTCATGGCCTCATCGTGGGTTCGGTTCATGTTCCCTGTAGGAACTGCTTGCTGACGGAGAACGCAGCCGTCTGCGGGCCGGCCTTCTGGAGGCATGGGATGCTTTGCACGATATGCGCTTGCATGACGAAGAGCCGAAGATCCAAGACAACTCAAGCAGCATGCCTTCGCTGTGCAACCAGCTCGGATTTTGTGTCTGCGAAGAGGGCGGCCTAGGGATGAAAAGCTGGCTTTTTCATCGCCGCCTGACCGTCTTCCTGAGATCTGTGTTTGTTCCGAGGCGGACCAAGCGGAAGCAAGACGACTCTGGGCGGATGGTTCCTGTGGAGTTGACTCCTGCGCAGCAGCAATCGCAGGCGAAACTGAAGAGGCAACGATCCTTGCTCAACGATGCTTTCATTGTCTTGAAAATTGAAGCTTCCAGCAATGATGTTATCACCGATGTGCTGCCTAGCGAAACATATGTGCACAGCTCTTGGAGGCGAATGGCCCTGAACCCCCTCCAACATGGTCCTTCTTGCCTCTGGTTGCACATTGGCCACGTGAATTTCTCCACCTGGACCATGGGCTTTCTGAAGCTGCACGAAGTAGACAGGAATGAGAATGAGAATGGTTACACTCGGCTGAGAGTGGGAGATGTGGCAGAAGCATGCCACTCTGTGAGAACATTCTTCGAGAGCCAGCAGGACTTTGATGTCAACTGGCGCTGCACTGTTCATCAGATTTTAGCCAACAACGACATCTTGATCCGGGACGACATGTGCTCAGACTGGGTGCTGGTGAAGGAGCTTGCAGATCTCCCAGTATTTGAGTTCTGGCAAGGTTGGTTGGCCGAAAATGCCAAGCACCGCGAGGAACAAAAGAGACGATCGTCTGGAAAGTCGAACTCCAAGAAGCGGGAGGCTCCCGCAGCTCCTGCAGCGGCCGCGCCGGCAGGCAAGAAAGCTCGATCCACCCAAGCACATGCTGATGCGGAGATTCCTGTGGATGCCGACGACGACTTGGGTTTCGACGAGGGCGGAAATGCTGAGCAGGATGATGTGCACCTGATGGAAGATTCTGGGGATGAAAGCCAGGCCGAAAGCATTTCTCTGTCAGAGCTTATAAATGCTGCGGATGCCGGGCCTGACAGCGACCTGGAGGGCGACAATGCCAAGGACAAGGAAGACTTGGCTGATGCCAGTGCGGCGTCTGCAGTCCCGCGGGCAGCTGCTGAAGCTGATGATGTGGCTTCTGCAGACATCTCAGCACGGGGCCCTGCTGACAGGGTTCCTGCCGGACCACGACGTGATCCGCGACCCACCCTGCTTGCTTCTTTTGAGTCATGGGGCGACCTTCGTTACAACGAGGAAGCGGAGCACATCATGGCTGTGTGCCCTTTGCATACCAACTGCAGACGCACTAGAACAGTGCACCCTTCAAGCACAGCAAGGAACCCGGGCCAGGGCCGGCCCATTGGATGGCTGTGCTGTTGGTTGCAACTTGCCGACCGCTTTTCAACGGCTGCAGAGCACACGAGCCAAGAAGCATTGAAGCTCATTACTCTCGAAGGCAGGCGGCAAGCGCGAGAACGGTTCATGCGTTCAGAGAGTGGTCGTGGTTTGGCGAGGCACGAGCGTGCACGATTTGATCATGAGCTGCATGATGAGCCTGATGCGATGACTTGAGCTGGAGCAAAGCATGTCCTAGAAAGCACAATGCCATCACAATGCTTCGGCTTTTGGCTGCTTGATTTGCTCGACGCATCTGTCCAGCTTCAGGTCAGTTGCAAAATGCTGCGCCGCTTTCGAGCTTTGGACTTCCCGAAACAGCGTGCCCACATACCTGTTAAGTTTTCTTCTGTCCCACAAAGGCCCCCTTCAGCCTGCAATGCCCTGCCCTTACAGCCTTAACAGGCCCCAACCCAACAGGCAAACAAAGCAATCCCTTGGACCTTGGAGAACAACCTAGCCGCCTAACCTTCTGAAGTTCCAAATCAATCAAATCTTTTGTGTGCAGTCTGTGGCTTTTCCATGGTACGAGTCGTTGTGCGCCAAATCGTTTATGGGGATTTGATGCAACAGAGCATTATCGGAATCATTATCGCAACAGAGGAATCCTAAGAGGTCCCAAACCGTTGTGCCCACTTCCTATCTCCGGAAAGCCGAGATTCAAGCCTAAACTGCACCCTCAACCCTGCAACCCGTAGGCCTGAAGAACACCTCGAGCCCAAGCTTACAACCAAACATTAATCTCTTACTCTTACCCTTAGGGCCGAATCCCAACCAACCACATCCCGAAGACACCATGCGACGTGATTTGCAGGATCTACATTGTCTTCCTGCGGAAGGATGTGTACTGTCTGGAAGATACTGTCTTCTTCGTGAACACTTACAAGGCTTCCTTAGCATTGGGCCGTTTGCTGGTGCCAGGGGTAGTTGTTTGCGCAAGCAGCAAGTCATGACTGTAGCACGTACAGTTTGTGTGTCAGATAGAAAGATTGGAAAAGACCGAGGGGAGAGAGCGACAGATTAGAGCAGGAAGAGAGACTAAACGAGAACCAATGAAATATGGCAGGAACTCATCAAGAAGCAGCGCGAGCGGCAGCCCAAAGAGCTGGTCGACCTTTTGCCGCCACACCGGCAAGACTATCTGTTGCGCTGCCGTCTGCGTGATGTACTTTTCCTGCAGCAAAGGTTTTGGCCATAGGTGTCTAGTGTTTAGGTCGATTGCAGGTTTTGACCACTGGTGTTTAGGTTGGTTGCAAAAGAGATGCCCGCCGAGTTTCAGTGTTGGTGAAGTTCGAACATGTTAACAGACGGACGACTGGGTGAGTATGTGATTTGATTAGGTCGATGTGGTGCATGTTTGGCTACCCGGCTACCCACAATCAAACAACAAAACACCTTGTTTTGGTTTTGTTAAACAGACACCTGGAGAGAAACGTTGAGTAGCAGCACTAACCGCATTAGCCGTGGCAATTCCCCAATCCCAATCCCAAAGCCAAAGCCAGACATGGGTGCTCGAATAATCAGCAAAATGACAAGTAGCCGAGGCTTCCATTGGTGCAGCTTCTTGTCATGTGAAAGCTCTAGACCCTATACTTTGGATACCCCAGCCAACATCCATTAAAACACCAAGCCAGCCGTCACCACAAACACAATCCGTTGCCCAGGTTGATGCCCAGGACGCACCTCGGACTCAGTTCGGACTCAGTGCATCCCGGATGCCGGGATGGAGTCAAGTCTTTAGGCTTTAGGGTTGTAGCTGTTGTGTATGGGCTTTCGCACTTATGGTTTTGGACTCAAGGGTTTGACCGATTTCAGGGATGGAAAAACTTTGAGTTTCTCCGGTGGTGTCGCTGTCGGATCTTCCGTCAAACAAAAGAATAAGCTGAGTAACAAGCAGGAGTTTGATAGTTTGGTTCGGTGTGTGACCGTGCGCTCCAAAAGTGCAATAGGCAATAATACAAAGCATCTCGAATCTACAATCTCCAAATGACCGGAGAGGGTGACTTGCCGGCTCGTCGAGGAATGACTCCCGGATTGCCAACCGGACCCAGGCCCCTTTTTTGCTTTAGTGTTTTGGAGGCCGTCTGGCGGTCCCTTTTTTTTGGCTTTGGTTGTTTGAGGCCCACTTTCGGTCCCTGTTTTTTTGCTTTTTTTTTTGAAGCCGACTGTCGGTGCCATTTTCGGTCCCATTTTCCGACCCATTTGTTTTCCTTTTTCGGACCTTTTTTTTTGCTTTTTTTCAAACAGAAAAAGACAAACCAGAGGGTTTGTGTATATTGCCATTGTTTTTGCTTTTTTTTTGCTTCTTTCCTAGGAAAAAAGCGAAAAAAATGCAAAACAAATGCGAAAAATGCAAAAAAAGGAAAACAAAGGCCCTACATGGGGTTCGTGCATTTTCCATTGTTTTTGCTTTTTTTTTGCTTTTTTCCTAGGAAAAAAGCGAAAAAATGCGAAAAAATGCAAAAAAATGCAAAAACAATGCAAAAAAAAGCAAAAATAAAGGAAAACAAAGACCCTACATGGGGTTCGTGCATTTTCCATTGTTTTTGCTTTTTTTTGCTTTTTTCCTAGGAAAA